AACATAATTGCTTTTTCAAAATCAAATAATATCGATTAAAATAAAAAATAAATAAAATATTAAAATTAAAATGTATCATTACATATGCCTTTCTAGTTTATTAAAATTTAAATATAAACACTTGTTTTTGGGATCGACCGGACCCATTACGGCTTTGCATTCTTGAACCGGGACCAATTTATATTTTAGACCCGAGCTGGTCCGGTTTTTGGCCGTCTCTTCTACTCTGCACTGTATAAATGTTGAAAGATAAAGATGCTGACACAGCTCGTTCTGATCGTTTTGAATACAGTTACCATCGAGGAACTATTGGAGAACTTCTGATTTTCCGGTTGAGGGTTTAGTTTGTTGATCTAAGCGTTAACGGAGGTAATTATCCAAATAAATTTGTAATCTTGATTAGGGTTTTTGTTGAGGAAGATTGTACGAGTATTTTGGTAAAACTCTATTTTGATGTTAGATGGTAATATGGCGTCAATTGGGCTGCCAAACCTGGAATACGGTGGCCTTTAGGCCATGCGATGTGAGTTCCTGAACTCGATTCCCTCCAATCGTTAATCCAATTTATATCGGATGTGTTGTGTACGAACTCCGATATGTTTCCATATATAGTGACGATCGTAGTTGGTATTTAGTAGCTTTGGGTTACCACGATTTGAAACCTAACACGGCCTGATGTTGTAGACAATGAACAGTGACCCTATTCTGTTTTCTTGATAGCCAATATTTTTCATGTGGGATCAATCTTTGTTTTCTACCACAATACCTGGGTGTGGCCTTTTAGATTATCTTTTTTACATGTGTTTTGCCAATTGCCATTAAACTTATGTTCTTGGAATGATTCTAATGATCTGGTTTTTCTCTTAATACAACTGCTGACAAGTAATGCAATCAGGTTATAAGCTTCTAAATTCGAATGATTAGCAAATAACATGTTTCCCCTCTATCTAAAAGCATCTAATGTACTCTGAATGTAAAAAGGAAGTGGTATTTGAGATGCTCTCCAGGATGAGTAGTGATAATACCCAAGGTGCATTGAATGTACTTGTTTAGAGGAATGTTTCTATCTTAATTGTTAAGCACTATTTGTTGTGAGGCATACCCTTTTCCATAAATGTATGTATATGCATACACACATGTGTACTTTAGGTTGCTAGAAGATGTGTTTAAAAAAGTTCTATTTAAATAATCCGAGTCCGAGGAGCTTCTAAACATGTGTTGTAGCTAATATCGTTGCTCTTAGATTTTGATGTTGGCAGTTAAATAAGTCATCTTTGAAAATCCTAGGTAAAATAATTGTATATTTACATTGATAATTACTCACATTGTCATCACTAGTATTTTTTTTATTCAACTTCTCTGGAATCCTATGTCATTTGATCACAATCAGGTGGATAGAGGAGTATATTATTTTTCTTCTACTACATGTTGCTTGTCACTTTCATTTTTTTTTCAATTATTTTTAAGGTTATATATGGTACCAGGAGTTCACTAATGCTTTTCCTTTTCCTTTTCGAGAATTCAGGTAAATTGGAAGAGAAGTGGACTGGCCTCTTCGATATGAGTTCTTGTCCTCCCTACTCATCTTATTGATAATGTTAACATCTAAGGTTCTTGGTAGATTTACCAAGGGTAAATCTTTTCTGCCCAACACATATAGTCCTACTTTTATAAGCACTTTGATGCCAATAGCTTCTGAAAAGCATTTCAGCACTGGTGTGGATGCACTTGAAAGCAACCACCCTGTAGCATCTAAAAGCCAAGTACATGACATGGAAGCTGGAAATTGCAGTTATGGAGGGAAACTTGGCTCATCAAAAAGTCAAATGTAAGTATATGTGCGGGAATCGGATATCTATCCAGTAACTTGAATCCTCCATGGAATCTGTTATACATTTGGTTAAATTATTCGTTGTTGCTGGTTGCATTTGATGGATCCTTGTACCTGTAGAATCGGTTCGATGTTGGTTCATTGCTACAAATTTATACATTTTTGGAATTTTCTTCTGTGATTTTAAGGAGTGATGAGGTATGGTCATGGTATATGCCTTTTTTGTTAGAGCAAATGAGGATTGTACTGGAATAATTAGTTGTACTGATAGACAACTCAGCTCATGATGGTCACATGTTAACGACTAGATATTTGTAAATACTCCACCTTTATCAAGAAACATGTTATTTTGTTGAAAATGCTATCAGTATATGATATGAATCAATTGGCAAAATCAAGATTAGCGGCCAAAAGTACCACTAATCGGATGCTTATTAAAATAAACCCTGGAATTCGAGACCCAGTAATCTCCAATGTCTACGACAAGAATCAAAATACTAGAAATGAATGCAAACAATGGGGTGGCCGGTCCCTTAAATAAAGCCATACCCTAATCCTAAAAAATATACCCTAATCCTAAAAAATAGGAAAACATATTTATCCTAATAAACTAATTAATATCTATCCTAATCAACTAATTAAGATAATTAAGAATAAGTAAATTGCAAACAGCCCCCCTCTACTTGTTTCCTGCCTCTCTTTTGCGAAGCTGATATATCCGACCCCAGTGCGGGTCGGGCTGAGACGTATCAATATCATTACCCCCGCCCCAAAGATTCACCTTGTCCTCAAGGTGAAAGCCAGGGAACTGCTCCACCGCCTGAGTGTACTGACACCTCCATCGCATCCAAGTGTGCGTGAGTTTCCGGTGTTACCTCTTCCCCCTTGTCATCTTCATCATCCATTAACATGATCCGCAGGGATTTCTCGGGGCAATGGTGTCCGGGTGTGAACTTCCCGTCGCATTGAAAATAGAAGCCCTTAGCCCGTTTATCCGCCTGTTCCGAGTCTGTCATCCGTTTAAACGGCTGTTCGTTATCCCCTGTTGTCGGTCGTTGGGTTCCCGTTGGTGGGGCGGCCATCGGCCGTGAGCCCCCCACTCCGGTCCGCATTGGCTGACTTTTGTTTTCCCCTTTTTCCGCGTTCCCAGTGCTGATAGTTTTATTTTTATCTACCATAAGAGCTAGTTGGATCGCCTGATCTAAGTCCACTGGTTGAAGCAACCTCACGGAAATTCGTAGCTCCGGTTTCAACCCTTTTAGGAATGTACCCTGCATAATCTTCTCAGGAATGCCCCTTAGCTGTGCCGATACTGTTTCAAATTTCCCTACATACTCGCGGGACGACCTTTCTTGTTTAATTGCCAAAAATTGTTCGTATAGGTCCCCTTCCTGAGATGACTGGAACCGAGCCAACTACCGGTTTTTTAATCCTTCCCAGTGACGAAAAGGGTGCCTATCATCACTCTATCGGTACCATGCAAGGGCTTGTCCCTCCAACCCCAACACCGCCGCCCTCAACTTCTCCCCCGTAGTAACAAATCCCTGAACGTCGAAAAATCTTTCCATGAGGTACACCCACCCATATGCATCAGTTCCATCAAACAACGGCATCTTCAGCTTACGAAGGCGATAGTCCGTCCCGGGCACCCACCCCCGTTCTCCCGAAGTTCCTGTGCCCCTTCCATAGCCGCTGCCAAACGGCCTTTCAGTCTCAGAAAAAGCAAACGTACCTGACTCCAAAAAAGGAATTTCCTGAGTGCCGATGGGCCTGTTCGGTTCCCTGGCCGTACTGCTGGTTGCATGCCAAGGCGGCAGGGGCGCACCATTCTCATCAAAAATCGGATTCGATTGCTGCATTATGGGCCGTATGGTGCAATCGGTGAAGATTGGCAATGGCATGGCTGCTGTCGGCGGTGGTGGCGGCTTCAACGCCTGGAACTGTTGCAACATGACCTTCATCATCTCCGCATGTCGCTTCTCTGTTTCAGTGCGCAACGATTCCACGGTGGTCTCCAAGTTTTCGAACCGCTCCGTCGTCTCAGCGCGGAACTGTTCGACGGCAGCCTTCTGTTGGGTCAACTCAGCTTCAAGATCCTGAATCTTGGTCATGGTAGTGTGGATAAAATCACAGGCGCAAGATCGATGCTCTGATACCAATTTGATATGAATCAATTGGCAAAATCAAGATTAGCGGCCAAAAGTACCACTAATCGGATGCTTATTAAAATAAACCCTGGAATTCGAGACCTAGTAATCTCCAATGTCTACGACAAGAATCAAAATACTAGAATGAATGCAAACAATGGGGTGGCCGGTCCCTTAAATAAAGCCGTACCCTAATCCTAAAAAATATACCCTAATCCTAAAAAATAGGAAAACATATTTATCCTAATAAACTAATTAATATCTATCCTAATCAACTAATTAAGATAATTAAGAATAAGTAAATTGCAAACAGCCCCCCTCTACTTGTTTCCTGCCTCTCTTTTGCGAAGCTGATATATCCGACCCCAGTGCGGGTCGGGCTGAGACGTATCAGTATATTCGTAGAAAGAATTGGAAAAGAAATCAACCAATTGTAAGCATATGGGAAAGAAAAGAAAAGAAAGTACGCGTACTGATGCCCAATTTTTCTTTGTATAGTTTTGATTCAAGAAATAGACGCACTTTGTTAGCCACACATGGTCCTTCAAGTCAAGACTTGTTCGAACCTTTGGACTTAACATGAAAATGAAGGTACAATAGGATAAATTGGTAAAGCTATGGTGTTCACATAAACCAATTTGTAGAGTGCTAATCAGTATGTCCACAAATTTTTAATTTCTGCGATTCAGCATGCAACCAATCCTAAGCCGCTGACTCTTGGGTGTACCTTAGTTCTGATCATGATATCATACTTAGTGGTATATTTTTATTTTTTTTTATCTTTTGGTCGCATGACATGTTAACTATGTCTCTAATGGGACTATGTCAAGTAGAATTATATGCTAAATTCAAAAATTCTATCATACATTCTTCTTATTTCTAATCATTTTTGTGGCTGGTATGCTTCAAATGCTTGTTGATGGTTTTAAGGTACTATAGTACATTGCATGGTTCTGTTTAGTGCTTCCATTGGTTCATTGTAGTGATGTGACTACTGGAGAGCCATTTCCATCGAAAAGACTAACAAGGATGTCTCTACAACAATGCAGACATCAACCGCCTGTTGTTGGTAGTCTACGTCCACATATATGCATGTCAAGTTCTAATTACAGCACGCAGTGCATTGATAGTATTACGACAAATTTACAACATAAGGTACAATCAAATTGTTAAACTAATGTTTTCTTATAACATGCACAGGCCAGTTTTTGTCGAATATTAATAATTTTGGTCACTTTAGAAGCCATTTTATTAATGTATAACGAATATTGCAGTTATTAGTCAACATCCCAAGATATGTCAAGATAGTTGAAGTTGGTCCACGGGATGGGCTGCAGAATGAGAAGGATATCGTACCTACTGCCGTAAAAGTTGAATTGATCAAATTGTTGGTTAATTCAGGATTGCCGGTTGTTGAAGCAACTAGTTTTGTCTCACCAAAATGGGTACCACAGGTAATCTGGCTTGGTTGTATTGTAGTGTTAAAGCTACTACCTTTGATCCTCCACCTTGCTCTTGGTACAAGTGATTGAGGATTTGCTTTTCTAATGACTTAATGTGAATGTCCGTAGCCATGTCATCCTCATTTTGGTCGGCTTCATATGATGCTACATATTCTGTTTGGTGTTTTCAGTGCCTCTAGAGTAAGTTGATGTCATTCCAACTATCGTTAGTATCTTATGGAGCTCAAAATTGCAGTTGGCAGATGCAAAAGATGTAATTGAAGAAATTAGAAGTGTTAGGGGTGCTAGATTCCCTGTACTAATACCAAATCTGAAGGTAAGCTGTATTTTCCTGTCGAATCTTCGATAATAATATAATGGCACAAATTTTGTAGAAAGGGGGTTTACACATTACTGTTTCTCCCAATCTATCTGTCTTCAGGGATTAGAGGCGGCTATTGCAGCTGGAGTGAAGGAAGTCGCAGTGTTTGCTGCAGCTTCTGAGTCCTTTTCACGTGCAAACATTAATTGTACTATAAATGAAAGTCTTGCCCGTTATCGTGATGTTGCTTCTGCTGCTAAGGAACGCTCACTCCCTGTACGCGGGTATTTGATCTAGCTTATTGTGACGATTTGTTTTTCATGGACTGGTAGTGCATGTACTCTCCCTGGATGCTGTGTGTATACACACAAACACACACGCACACATATAGCAGGCTAATCATGTGAGAACCACAAAAAGGTTACAGACCCATGTGAACCCATCCCAATTATTGTTTCACATGGTTTATTTTCATCTAAACTAGGATTTAAAATATTGTTCCACAATGTGAAACAACACATGTTTCCCTGGTTCCCAACCTTTTTGAGGTTCTCGTTCGATGATGCCCCTATACATAGAAAAGGATCCGGAGAAAACCCTAAGAGAAGAACCTGAGAACTCATCTAATCCGTTAGATTGAGATGATCCAATGGCTGTGGTCAAAAAGGTGGTTACAACCATATTAATTAAAATATCCCCCCTGTTTTTACCAGGTACGTATCATGCGTTGTCGGATGTCCAATGGAAGGAGCAGTGCATCCAACCAAAGTGGCCTACGTTGCCGAGGAACTTCTAAAAATGGGCTGTGATGAAATTTCCCTCGGTGATACCATCGGGGTTGGTACTCCTGGTATGCAATTTCGGTCTTCATGTACATGTTCATCATGTGAATTAGTATTTGACGTGTTTTGAGTACAATATCGTCTCCTCTTACGTGATTATATAGTTGAGGTCGTTAGATCTTTAACAACATTTCCCAACTCGAGAGTCTAGCATTTTCCTACACATCACAAAATCACTTTTCACATGGGACCTATCTTCCTTTTTTTTTATTAACCTGGATATCCAACCAGCTATGCGAGCCAACTAATCCTAGGGTGACGCGGGTAGCCCGGAGTTGCCGCATTTGAACCTGCGTGGCCACAAGGGGATTCTTATTCCTCCTCGGATTCGAACCTGGGACCTATAGGAACTTTTGACGATTGGAGCCCAAGCTCAAACCAATCGGACACGACCCTTGTGGTTGGACCTATCTTCCTTGATTAATAGTGAAGATGCTTTTCGTCTTATTTTCTAACATATTAATTAGATTAACATACAAGTAATGATGCTTAATGTTTAATCCTTTTCATATTATTATAAACAAATTTTAGTTCCTTGTTATAGAATTCTAATTTTATTTTATATTTTGTTGATATATTATTGAACTTTCTACAGGTAACCAAACTCATAATATGTGAAACATTATAAACAGATTACTTCAATTAAGATGGTCTAAATAGTGGGAAGTTCCGATAGGAACCCAAAATTAATCAGGAACCCGGGAACCACCACAGCGCTCCACGTGTCCCTCTTTGGGATGAATATTCATCATGAATAACACATTCATGATGAATATGGAAGTGTTATTCATCATGAATCACACATTCATGATTAATATGTACATGTTATGGATGTGTTATTCATAATGAATGTGCAATTCATGATGAATATGTTGCAACATTCATGGTGAATAGCACATCCATATTCATGGAATATGCCACGTCTAGTGCTGATGGCGGTTCCCGGGTTCCCAATCAAATTTAGGTTCCTATCGGAGCCTGCCCAATACAAAGAGAACAACAGAGCTGGGAGGGAAAGGAGGTCAGAACTGTTTTCTGGGCAAGTCCAAGATTACCGTCTCTTCCATTTTCAGATTAAAGTTTGTAATTTTAGATGGAAAACAAAATTTGAATATCAAAAAACAATAATGTCATTTCTGTAAATTTCTTTACGGGCTGCGTGGATCTTTTGCTCTTGTAATATTAGGCCAAGAATACGTCTAAGTGGCGGTTCGTGCAGTATTTTCATTACAAGATGACTTTTACTGCACTTTTGTACATAAAATCATTATACTTGTGGTAATTCTTGCCTTTTGGGGGACTACTGGTTTCTGCTACCTTGACAACTTCATCGTTTACGTATAGCATGTTCCTCACTCTGCCTTTTGATTCTTATCTTCAGGTTCCGTTATCCCTATGATCGAGGCCGTTAAAAGTGTTGTCCCTTTAGAGAAGCTTGCTGTACATTTTCATGATACCTACGGGCAAGCCCTTTCGAATATCCTTATATCACTGCAAGTAAGATTGTTTCTCTCTCTCAAAGAAAGCAATAAATATTTCGATAGAACAGATTTTCACATCGACGTAGAGAAAGACAAGTCTAATGCATTCACGAATGTGTTGAGATGATCCGTGTCTGTTATATATGCCTTTTTGCTCGCACTTCTGCACAAGTTGCATCTACACGGATATAGATGCTCTACCCTTTGGTATAGCGGACATTCTATATGCTATTATGCATAATTTTGAAGTAAAAAATAATTCTTTTGAAACAGATGGGGATTAGTGTGGTGGATTCATCTGTATCGGGTCTTGGTGGTTGCCCGTATGCCAAAGGTGCAAGTGGTAACGTAGCCACGGAGGATGTTGTATATATGCTTAACGGGCTTGGTGTAAAGACCAATGTGGATCTTCGAAAGCTCACGTTGGCTGGAGATTTTATCAGGAGACATTTGGGTCGGCCCTCCGAGTCTAAAGTTGCAACCGCGTTGAGTAAAACCGCATTTTGCGCATCCAAATTATAAGGCACCATGAAACTTTTTGGTGTCGATTGAAGTTATTTCATATGGATTACGATAATCTTGGCATCGCGGGTGATGTGATAAAACGTTTCTATTTTAGTGTCGGTAGTTACCCCTTTGTCCGAAAATATGTGTCCAAGTTCTTATTTTAGTATGTCCCAAAATAAGGGTCCACTTTCACAGGTAAATGCACATTTCACAATTCTATCCTTAATTATAAGATGGAGAAAGTCATTACTGCCTCTGTTATTAAGGGTAACATTGTCATTTAGTTAATTAAAAACGTTTCTAAAATTGTGTGTGAACTTTTATTTTGGGATGGAGGGAGTATTCAGTAGGTATAAAAAGGATTATGTTGTTGGTTACATCACCTGTAATTTATTTAATGATGGTAAAAATGAAATTTTTTATTTGATCTTTCTTTTAGTGCAAATTAATTTTCAGTTACATTTCTTAATTATTCCATGTCTTGCTATTGTGAATATTCTATGCAAATTAATTGTTGGTTACATTTCTTAATTATTGTAAGTAAATTAATTGTCGGTTACATTTCTTAATTATACTTGAGTTTCAACATTTAAAAAAGTATTGTGTTTATATGTGAACCTGATAACCACATATATATATATATATATATATATATATATAACAAAAACTACGTATGTACAAATTAGCAATTATTTTAAAAAAACTTGAACAATGTTCAGAAGTAAACACATGAACCTTGTTCATAAGCACAATTTGATGTTTGTTCACAGATGAGCCAGATATCATTTCACATTTATTTCATATATGAATGAGACTACATAGCGTATGTGTTTCCTAAAATAAAACATGGATGTTACAAAAACCTTTACGACTTTTTTCCATATACATTCTTGTTCACACATGAACAATTCCCATAAATATTGAATACTTGTTCACACATGAACCATTAACCAAAAAAACCTGTAGAAGAATCTAATGTCGTGGATCTTGCTGTCGGTTTCGATTCGATGATGAGAGTAATTACCGGATAGTTACATTGTTATCAATGGGCAGTTAAAAAACATCCAATTGTCATTAATGGGCAGTTACAAAACATCTCATTGTCATTAATTGACAACTAAAATCTTTTCTTAAAATACCCTTTATGAACATTGTTCGCTTATATTATCTTGTCCATGCCATAAATGATCTCAACCACAAATTTTAAAGATCAATAGATAAGATCAGTTCATAAAGTTAACACCATATATTCGGTTAACAAATGAACTCACCCTTATATATATTGATTCATTAATTATCTAAATGCTGATTATGGGATCCTTTTATTTTTTAGTTTCACTTGATTCATATTTTTTTCTCGGTATAAATAATGGAATTGTCTTTCTTTTGAATAAAAATGTTTTTGCTTTCTTTGTTATTTTTATGAAAACTCTTCGAACTCTAAAATTCAGTTTTTTGAGTTCGATTTTAAAGTCTATATCTTTAAAAAAATGGGTTAAAAACAGAAGGTGTGTTTCGAGGAGGGACCGAAAGGATATTCCATTTGTATTCCGAAAACTATTAAAAAACAAGAATCAAAATTATCTTGTTTCTTTAGATCTCTCTTAGAGAGTCGTAACTTAGAGCGGTGCTAAAGTTCCAAATGAAAAGGATATAGGATTTTTAGATATATATATAGCCAAAAATTATTTTGAGAAGTGGTAAATGATTAAGAAATAACGAAGTGATCCTAACTATTCATACGGCCAAGATCGGATTTGACTGATTAATAATTACAAATTGCGGCTATGCAAAAAATAGAGATGATAGTTTTATAACTCTTACAGAATGGCGGTAAACGAGTTCATATATGAACATATGTGATTCACATATGAACTATACGTTCATATGTGAACTCGTGTAATTCACATGAACTATTTTAATTGATTCACATGTGAACTAATTAATCGATTCACATATGGACTAATTAACCGATTTATATATGAACCTGTGGGTTCTTATATGAACCAGTTAAATAGTTCACATGTGAACTAGTTAACGGGTTCACATATGAACATATATAGTTCATATGTGTATCTTATGGGTTCACATATAAATTCCTTTGCTACCTAATTATAAAAGTTAAGAAACTACCTTCCTATCTTCTACATACCCATGTGAGGAATCATGCAGTGCTTCACCGTCAAAGCCCAAATGTTGATCAGATGAAGGGTTTTGATTATTTTTTTACTTCTCAAATATTTACCACTTTTTGAATATGAGAGAGAGAGAGAGAGAGATGTTGTTTATTATACAAATCATTTCATTCATACATCCCAATCAATTGAAATAATTATGTAAATAATATTGTTCATTTATTATGATTTAGATATTTACGGAAGATAACTGTAGTTTATTAATTATGATCAACAAAAAGAATCAAAATATTTATAAAACACTATATTTATTAGAGTAGATGGACGATTCAAATTGGATTGTACGAATGACACACGTTGTATTTGAAACACCCTATATATAGTAATTACTGATGTTGAAAAAAATATATGAAACCCAGAAAAAGGCTCTTATATACAACTATTATTGTAGAGATCAGTTCACGATGAGATAAAAGATTCTTAACTTTGGAAATACAGGAAAAAAAATCCTATAAATCACTTTGCTTTTATCAAGAGTTGTTAGTTTGTTATAGTAAATTGGTAATGGATGCACTTTGAAAGGTCTAAAATGTAGAAACCGACGTACCAATAACCGCGTTAGCAAACTACTCTTCCAGGAACTCATCCCCGTTGTTTTGAAGGTAGGTTGTACGTATTAGGTCAAAATTTGGCCTCGATTTCCTTTTGCAAAAACAACAGTACTACCTTTTGGAGAGAAAAATACAATTTTTTAAAACCGGGTCTGTATCTGGACCGATTAAAACCATCAGACTCAAACCAATCCTAGTGTTCAACCTAAGCAGTAAGGACCGGTTTTGTCCAGAAAAATCAAACATCAGTAATATGCATACATAATTAATAAATATATGTTATAACATGAGATAAGGTGTTATTACATATACAATTATTTATATTAAAATCAGATCAAATCACAAATTAAAAATAAAATAAAAAAATGTTAATAAGCAGCCATACATTTTACCACCATCTTTTAGAAATGTGTTGCACGAGTCTTCCTAATAATGATATTGATTTTGGTTTACTAATTATTTTTATTTAATTAATTGTTAAAGTTTTTTTATAATCATTTTATTATAAAATAAAAAGACATTTTAAGCCTTGATGTGATCTGTTTTCACAAACCGGGGGTCGGTCGAAACAAACCCAATGAAAATTAAAAACCACTGACGTCATTTTCCAACATGAAAACCACGTGCCAGATTATGAGCCGCCGATCTAAACAATCCCTGATGACTGGTTTACTGGTTTGTCAAGGGGGTTAGGTAGATCTAAGTTCCATTTTTTTAATCTACTCAAAATTTTTATTATGTCAATTGTGTACCCATACAATACAACGTAATGTAAAATTTTTATTGAAATTTGTTCAATTTTAAAATCTCAAATTCTTTCAAGATGTCGTAATGCCTGTTATATTTGTACTTATGTTCGATTAAAATATCCATCCATAAGATTTACGACACACCATGAACCAGTCCATACAATGATCTACAACAGTTAAACCCAGATATTTACAACAGATTCAATGTATAGTATTCCAACAAGAATTAACATGACCCAAAGAACTATTCGATTCAGAAATGCACCAAGTGATTTCAAAGATAACAATTTTATCTATTAAAAGGATGGATCAATTAATCAATTTGAAAAAGAAAGCTCAAATAGATATGAAAGAACTGCAGGAGATCAGATCTTTTATCAAGGAATAACCCAGTATATAAAAAATAAGATGCAAGAAAAACTGTACCTATGTAACTATCTAAACTAATTGACAATATCCACAAGTCTTGCTATCATTCCCCATTATTAACATGGACTTGGGATCATGTGAGACCAAATGTTTTTCGTGAGACCGTAAAACCAATCCTCAACATTTGGATTAGATCTACAATTTGAACATTTATAATCACAAAATTGCCACGAGACTTCTCAATAATCCCAAAATTGCCACCGTGCAACTTTAGATCATTAGATCATTAGCTTATAAAGTTAATCAATGAACATAAATTGATCTTACGGGCCTCATGAAAAACCTTTGGTCTCACGTGAACCCAACCCTACTAACATGATGCTAACATATACAATTTAACTGTAATAACACCTCTCATGAAAAATATGGTCTTACACAAACTCTGACATAAATAAATTGATGTTGACATCTGGCTTCTTGTGTGTTTGCCTCTGTATAAACTCTGAGTATGTCCTTGTTCCAGATATCGGAGTTGTAGGTATTTTACGGCATAAATTAACTTGAAATTTAAAATGATAGGAATAGCCCGGTCCAAAAGAGCCATGGCCCCAACGATGTTGACATATCAGTAGAAGAGTCTAGCTACCACATTGACAACTTCTTAAATGTCATGGGGCTTCTTAACAATAATTTATGCAACCAATATATTGTCGCCACAACATTTTTATGGATTAAAACAATGAGAAATTATTAGATATATAGAGTACTTGGTGATGGGATATGTGGATACGAGACATAGAGGGCATGGGGAGTAAAATGGGGATCCTAGGATAAGAGTACAGGGCTAGAGAGAGAGAGAGAGAGAGAGAGAGAGAGAGAGAGAGAGAGTCAAAAAAGGATCTTTCGTGTTGAAGATTTTACAACTTGATTAGAGATCGGTTGCTTCAGATGTTTCATTCAATTGGTATGCGACGTTTATTGAAGTTGCGGATGGGTTAAAAGATTCGTTGTGTGTTCGAACGACGGATGTCAGATTATGAAGGTGTTTTCTTTATGGGTGATGAAACAATTTCATTATGTAAGTATTAGATATTTTGGAAACAATTTCTTTTTTGAGGGATGATGAAGCAGATAATATGTAAGTGTGTGGAAATTGTGAAAACAAAAGGATGAAAAAACAGCTTTGAAGAGAAAATATGCATGCTCAAGTATAAAAGAGCTTTGAATTTAAATTCTTAATTCTAAACAGCTTTGGATATGATGAAACATTAATGTTGAGCCATCGTATTAATTCTGATTTGAAGGTGGTTCAATCGAACTGAATTGTGGTCAAATGCTTGATCATTAAACTATGCTGCAGATTCAAAACAAAAGTTTATCGGCAAACGGTATATCTATACTATATTATAAAGCATTTGACAAAAACTCTTAAAAACATTTTTTATGCATGAAGTATTGTTTATTGATGCATATTACTTAAAATTTAAGATTACAAGTAAATTGAGCATAAGTACAACTTACTAAAGCTTCATGTTTGAATTCGTGTAACTAACTGCAGATAAACATAATCAAATATTAGATAAAAATCTCATTTTTAAATATAAAAAATCTAAAATATAATTAAGATAATCATTGAGTTCTAACAAAATACTTAATTATTATCTTTATAAAAAATTATATTATTAAACCGAAAATAAAAAAATGAATTAAAGAAATATACAAGAAAACGAAAATTTCTAAACAGTTAGTGTGGTACTAATATCAATTTTTTTTTTCAAATTTTAATGATATCTTCATATTTATATTGTATTTAAAAATAAAAATATTATCACTTTCTTAAAACCACGTAAAATCGTATTATAACATCGATTAAGACAAAAATCAATAAAACAAAATATTAAAATCGAGATGTGTCTCACTACATTGTGCGAATACCCTTATAATATTAATGAAAGGTACTTTTTAAATAACTTGATTTCGTATCAAGATGTCTGTCAGAAAGTCATACTTTCGCAGAAGCTCTTCATGATATTTTACTTCTGGATACCCGTTGTCAATTATAACAATGGACGGGTTCTTTAGATTGAAAACAACGAGGTAGTAGTAATGTCCGCTATCTATCATAGGGAAGAAGGCCTGATATTTAGACAAATGTTAGTATTTATCTGATACTCATTCAGATTTCCAAGGAGTTATTTAATAGATTCTAGAATGTCTAAGTGTAAACAGAAGCTTAAAAAACACACAGAAGAAATTGTTGGCTTCAAAAGTTTGCCTTTATTCAACAAAGTACTGGGCAATTTATAGCCTTTTACAAAACAGAAAAAGAGAAAAATAAGCTAACTTAATCTACTGAATTATTGAAAAAAGCCTTAAGAATAGGACTCCTAAAGACTTGGTAAAACTAACAGTAAAGACTTGGTAAAACTGCTGGTAAACAACTAGAGCCAACATTCCCTCCCTTAAACTAAGCATAGGCTGCCCAGCTGCTTAGTTTAATTCACCCATTCCCGACAAGCTTCTTAGTTTCTGAAATTGCTCAAGCTTAAGTGGCTTTGTAAATATATCAACTATCTACTCCAGACTTCCACATTGAACCAGTTCGACTTCCTTGTCATTGGACAATTCTCTTCGAAAGTAAAATCGTACTCCTATATGTTTGCTTCTCCCTTGCATAACAGAATTTTTGGATAATTTAATACTTGAGCTATTATCACAGAAGATCGTCACGCATCTTTTACCCCCACATCCAAGACTCACCGGAATTTTCTTCATCCAAAATTCCTGACACGCGCACGCAGCAGCAGCTACAAATTCTGCCCCCGTAGACGATAGAGTGACAATTGCTTGTTTTTTTAAGACCATGCTACTGCTGCCGAGCTTAACGTAAAAGCGTAACCTGAAGTACTTCTCATATCATCCATACACCCTGCATAATCACTGTCGGTGAATCCTACTAACTCGTCATCGGAGTTCCTTGAATACAATATCGCATAGCCACTCGTACCAGCAACATAGCGAAGGATTCTTTTTGCAGCCATCAAATGACTCTGTTTAGGCCGAGCCATGTATCTGCTAACTAAGCATACTGAAAACATCAAATCTGAGCGAGTGGAAATGAGATACATCAAACTTCCTATAATTTGCTTGAAATAGGTGTTATCGATTGCTTCTCCTTGTTCATTCGAGATTTTTGAGCCGGTAACAATAGGATTATGAACCGCCTTGCAGTCTTTCATTCCAAACCTTCTTAGGACTTCCAATGCATACTTCTTTTGACATATAAATATACCACTGTCCAATTGATGAACTTCAATGCCAAGGAAAAATTTCATCTTACCCAAATCAGTCATATCGAATTCCTTCATCATCGACTCCTTAAATTTTCTCATCACTGCCTCATTATCCCAGTAAATATCAGATCATCAACATACAAACTTACATTCAAATGCATACCTGGATTGTTGTTCTTCACGAATAGAGTTTGTTCACTAGAGCACTTCGTAAATCCCTCCCTTAAGATTTTTTTTTCTATGCGATTAAACCAAGCTCGTGGAACTTGTTTTAGTCCATATAAAGCTTTTCTTAATTTATAGACCTTGTCGAGATTTCTTTCATCTACAAATCCTTGTGGCTGTTCAACATAAACATCTTCTACCAGTTCACCGTGGAGGAATGCCAATTTCACGTCTAACTGATACACTTGCCATTCTTTGTTTGTAGCTAGAGCTAGAATTGTTCGAATGGTATCCATCCGGGCTACCGGAGCAAATATTTCATAATAGTCGACTGCATATTCTTGAACGTACCCTTTTGTAACTAACCGGGCCTTGAAATTTTGCACTTGACTATGTTCATTGAAATTGGTTTTATAAATCCATTTGACTCCTATACTCTTCACACCTTTTGGTAAATCTGTAAGAAACCATGTTCCATTCTTTTCGATGCTCTCAATTTCGGACTGCATTGCTTTCCTCCAGTTTTCATTCTTCACGGCTTCATCGAAACTAGTCGGATCCTTGGGAACATTGACAACAAATTTTAAACATCTTCTGCCTCATCACTTTCAGACAACCCTTCTCCACTTACGTAGTCTTCCGTCCATGTCGGTGGTCTCCTTGTACGTGTTTTTTCATCAGATGACGGCTGCTCACTATTAGTTTCTATATTAATAACACCAGCTGCTTCTATCTCATCAGTGCTAACGAGACCGATTGCTTCCGTCTCAACATTGCTACTGGAACCTCGTGTCCCAATATCGTCAGTAAGCTGTGACGTATCTTCTTCCCCCCCAGTCAAGGTTCATTTCAGCACCTTGTTTGGGATTTTTATCCCACTTCCAGTTAGAGTTATCTTCAAAGATTACATCTTTGCTGATCACTAACTTATCTGTTATAGGATCGTAAATTCGGCAGCCTTTTGTTTCATTATTGATTCCATAGAAAACACTTGTATTGGTCTTATCATCAAGCTTACTTCTCTTCTCATCTGGTATATGAACATGACAAATGCATCCAAATGTTCGAAGGTGTGCAATAGAAGGTCGACGATCACTCCATGCTTCTTCAGGAGTCTTGTCTTTCAAGACTACCGTTGGGCATTGATTTAACACATATATTGCCCACTTCACAGCTTCTGGCCAAAATGTCCTTGGAACTCTTGATTGGGACATCATGCTTCTAACTGAGTTCATAACCATGTGGTTTTTCCTCTCGACAACTCGTTTTGCTGAGGGGTGAAGGCGGTAGTTAGCTGTCTTTTTATCCCGTGTGCTTCACAAAAGTTCTTGAACTTGGTTGATATAAATTCACCTCCACGATCAGTTCTCAAACACTTGATAGGAAGTCTTGTTTCTTTCTCAACAAGTACTTTGAAGAGTTTAAAGGTTAAAAAAGCATCTGATTTTGAGTTTAAAAAATAAGCCCAGGCCTTACGGCTGAAGTCATCAATTAAACACATCACATATTTTTTTTCCACTTCTTGTAATTGGAGAAATAGGACCGCATAAGTCGGCATGAATAAGTTCTAACCTTTATGTAGCTCGCCAAGTGCTATGCGTTGACATGGGTTCTCTGTGTTGTTTACCTTTTAAGCAGTGTGCACATACCTCATCAGACAATGGGAATTGGGGTAGTTCTTGTACTAGATCTTGCTGCTGCAATGTTTGTAAACCCGACTTGCTGATATGTGCCAGCCTTTGATGCCATAGTCGAGATAAGTCTTGCGTGACGGTATGATAACACACCCCCTGGTTCTTGTTTGCAGCTTTAGTTAAAGTTTTTGCTACCAAGGTGAACATTCTATTATGAGCCATACCTGTTTGAATGATGAGACCTTTCTCTGGATGATATATTTTGCATCTATTATCTTCAATCAAAATGGATAAACCTCTTTCATGTAGTTGTCCCATGCTCAAGAGATTGTTCTTGAGCTCAGGTACGTAAAAAACGTTAGCAACTATGTAAATCATCCCATTTATCTCCATTTTGACACTCCTAATTCCGGACACCAACATCTTTGAATCATTTCCAAGCTTCATAGATTGTGTAAAACTTTCATCCAACTTAGAGAACATATTCTTATCACTACACATGTGGTTGTTGCATCCCGAATCTAAGAACCATAAATCTTCTCGTTTCTTAGATGTCTCCTCAATCTGCGCCATCAACACCATTTCTTTCTTTTCGTCGAGCTCTACATAATTTGCTTATCGTCCCCATGAAAGGCATTCGTACTGGAAATGGCCGAGCTTGTGACATCGAAAACATTTGATGATAGATTTGTCGAATGTTGCTCTTCCTCTCCCTCCAATGTCGCGGCCCCTTCCTTGGTAGTATCCTCTTCCGCCTTTTCCTCGATTTGAAACCGTTGTTACCTTAACCACTTGCTCTTCTCCGATCTCTCGTTTCCTCAGCTTTTGCTCATGCACCAGTAACAAACTTTGCAGCTCATCAACTGTAAGTTGGTCGATCTCCTTGGATTCTTCAATCGAGCACACAATGAAATTGAATTTTTCTATTAGTGTCCGTAGAATATTTTCCACGACCTTGACCTCATCCATATCTTCTCCATAATTCCGCATGTCGTTGGCTATAACTAACACCCTTCCAAAATAATCTGTCACCGATTCTCCACCTTTCATCTCTAAGACTTTGAACGACCTGCGAAGTCTTTGTAGTTGACCCCGCTTCACTCTTGCATTTCCCTGGTATTTCACTTTCATTGACTCCCATATCTGCTTTGTCGTCTCCTTTTGGGTGATAGTCTTTAGGATTGACTTATCAATGGCTTGAAATAGGTAGTTATTTGCTTTTAAGTCTTTGAGCTTTGCTTCATTTAGGACTTTCTGCTGATCTGTGAATGATGCTTCAACGGCTGCTGGTTCACGGTAACCATCCTAGACTACACTCCAATACTCCTTTGAGCGCATTAAGTTTTTCATGAGAAAACTCCAATGATCATAATCTCCATCGAACATTGGCACACATGGGGCTGTGAAATTACTTGATTCAGCAACCATCTCTCAATCAATTTCTTTTCTCACACACTCGTGTTTACACTCGATTTTGCTCTGATACCAAATGTAAACAGAAGCTTAAAAAACACACAGAAGAAATTGTTGGCTTCAAAAGCTTGCCTTTATTCAACAAAGTACCGGGCAATTTATAGCCTTTTACAAACCAGAAAAAGAGCAAAATAAGCTAACTTAATGATGAAATAGGATGAAATGAGACGGTATTTTGTAAATACGTATCTACTGGATTATTGAAAAAAGCCTTAGGAGTAGGAATCCTAAAGACTTGGTAAAACTAACAGTAAAGACTTGGTAAAACTGCCAGTAAACAACTAGAGCCAACACCAAGGATTTATTTGTTTCAAAAAATTATCAAATGACTTAATTTTTTCAAACAGTAAAGTCTATTGAGTTTTTTTTGACTTTTCTCATAGTTGATTTGCTTTTTTAGACTTTTTCCCAACTTTTAAACTACTTTATTGATTACAAAAATTCGAGAAAACATAATAATTCCATCAAATCACATTTTCCAATTAAACCAATTTTTTCCCGATACAACTGAACTATATGATGTTTTGAACCAGAGAACTTGCCCGTGAAGTAAATCAATCAAAAGCAAGCCAAATCCAAGCTCAATAACATTAACTGGTTACAACACAAACGTCACATAGTTCGTACTACAAACAAAACAACATAGACCAAAACTAAACGGGCACCCGCTTGTACAAATTGTTTGGCAATCGCGGTGTCGGAACTGCTTGAAGCGGGGTCCGCATATAAGTCACCATCCCTGGGTTCTCGGTCAAGTCCACCTCTTCCGGCTTCACCCCGGCTGGTGGAGTCCACTCGAAATGGTGGAGAAGGTGGCCCAACATCGATGTGACTAGGTTGATCGCCAGCTGTGCACCCGGGCACACCCTCCTTCCGGCCCCAAACGGTAGAAGCCGGTAATCGTGGCCCTTAACGTCCACATCTTCCTCGAAGAACCGCTCCGGCCGGAACTCCTCAGGGTCCTTCCAGATGGTGGGGTCACGGGCGATGGCCCACACGTTTACGTGCACGATCGCACCTTTCGGGACATCGTACCCTCCGAGCTTCACATTTGAATTTGCTTTGTGGGGGAGCATCAATGGGGTCGGTGGGTGCAACCGTAAGGCTTCTTTGGCTATTGATTGGAGGTACGGTAGTTTCGAGAAATCCGTTTCGGACATGATCCGATCAGTGCCAATTACTCGATCGAGCTCTTCTTGAGCCTTGTGTTGAACTCGTGGGTTCTTAACCAACTCAGCCATCGCCCATTCCACTGATATAGAAGTTGTGTCCATTCCCGCAGTGATCATGTCCTGGTCAAAGTCAAACCTTTTAAAATTAAATATCAAATTAAAGATAATAAAATTCTCAATTTTGATATAATTTATTTTTAAAAATAAGGGGGGTAATTTTATTGTTTTAAAAATAAACCTAACATCTGACAGTTGCGATATATTTTTAACTTTTTTGTTCTCATTTGAATCTCTCTAAACCGAAGTAAGAAATCAATTATTTACCCAAAGAAGCCCGATAATCGTGTCGTCACTGAGATCATACTTCTGCTGAAGCGTGTGCAATGCATCGATGAAATGCTCCTGGGTCCCACCGGTTTTCGAGCGTGCAAGATCGTGTTCCGCCATGATGGCTTTCGTGAGCCGGTCACGGCGTTGTTCATGCTTGGCAAGAATCTCATTTTCACTGGCAAAGAACCAGCGAAGCCACGGGAGATTCTCGGCCATGAAAACCTTCCCACCAATCTTAATTCCGTTAGAAACAATACCTTTGAATTCCTGCCCTTGCTCGTCCATTCCACCTTCTGAGTTCACAAATCGCTTCCCAAATGTTAATCTCGTAATGTTGTTGAACGCAACCGATCCCAAATAACCCCTCATCGCTATGCTTTTATCCCGGTTATCTGCACGTAAAATATCGATCTTGATTCAAAATTAAACAACATTGCACTTATCAAGCATTAATGATCCTCAACAAACATTTGCCACGTCTGGTAAGTAGAAAGTATTCAATTTACAACTATAAATAGAAACTTTATGGTTTTGTTATTAATTTCTACAAACAAAAAAACGGACCCATGAAAACACAGGCAATAAAGACACAAATATCGGTTCTTATCTTCAATTATTTAAATATATGTCGGAATTTTACTTCATTTCATATCAGCAGCCATTGATTTCAACCATTGGGACCGATGACCAAGGAAATAAAAAACACGAATATTAATTATTTTTTTTTATTTTTTATGTTTATTTTAATTGGCCCATGAAAATCTCAACCATTTAAATAAAGAAAAAAAGAAAAAAAAAAGAAAATCGACTTCCCCAGACTTATGTGGAGCAAAAGCTCCTACCAAACTCGATTAGTATTTTTGGGCGGCTGGCATTCATGGTTAGGTAGAGCAAGTGCCGATTTAAGTCAACTTTATGTTTTATAATTCAAATCACATGGAATTTATTATAGTTTAATAAGGGGTTTTCTAACCCCACCCCCTCCTATTTCTTTCCCCTACATTTTCTACACCCCCACCTATTTAATACAATAAAATAATTATATTTTATTTATTTTATTTTTCAATTTTCACCCTTCAATATTTTTAGTTTTCACCCTTCAATTTTTAAATACTTTTCTATTATACCCTCTAGATTTTTAATTACATATATTAATTAACTATATATTATTATTAATTAAGTATTAAGGATACATATTTTTTAATAATTATTTAAATTAATTAAATTTATATTATTACTAATTAATAAAATATTAAAAATATGTATTTTTTAAATTATATATTTGTATATGAATTTTTTTCAATATTTATACTTTATATCTTTATAAAAATTTATTATATTTATTTACTTMTTTATTGTTCATAATGTAACATGTTACTTGATGTATATGAGATAAAATTTAACGTGACATGTTAAAACGTATTTTAGTTGATATAAAATTATGTATTTTAATGTGATAATGATGTAAAACAAAAATTGAAAAAACAAATGACATATCATAAATTAAATTAAATAAATAACTATAAATGTAAATATTAAAACGCGACGATTATAATGGTGTAACTTGTTAAAATTAAAACGTATTTTTTAAACAAATTTTAATTGATATATGATTATGTATGTTAATTTGATCAGGGTATAAAATGAAAAATTTAAAAGGAAAGAACGTAAAGTAAATTAATTAACTAATTATAGAGGTATAAAATGAAAAACTTAACCGAACAAACGAACGAACACAAACAATAAACGAATGAAAATCTTTGTGTTCGTGTTCGTTCGTTTAGAAATCAGGTGTGTTCGTGTTCGTTTATATTCGTTTGTTAACTAGAGAATATGAAGTATAATTTAAAAATTAATAAGTATATTAAAAAATGAGTATATATGTAAGATGAACAAGATCAATAAAGGGTATGAAAATGTTTCATGCAAGGTTAATTTAGTTGTTAAATCTAATTTTAGTTAATATAAAATTATGTATTTTAATGTGATAATGATATAAAAATAAATGATGTATCATAAATTAAATAAAGAACTATAAAATTATAAATCATAAATATTAAAAGTATTTTTTTCACATTATATATAATATATAATAATATAATTAAGTCAAAAACTATTTAATATTGGACTCATTTCGAAGGTATTAACGAGACGAKTATAATGGTGTAACTTGTTAAAATAAAAATGTATTTTTTAAACATGTTTTAATTAATATACAATTATGTATGTTAATTTAATAAAGGTGTAAAATGAAAAATTTAAAAGTAAAGGACGTAAAGTAAATTAATTACCTAATTATAGGGGTATAAAGTGTAAATTTAAAATTATTATTTAAAAAAAATCGTTGAATGTGAGAGAGGGTGGGTATGTAAGGGAGTGAGTTTGTGAGAGAAAGGGGTGAGAAAGTGATGTTCAGGGGGTATGAATTACAACCGTGACAAATTTTATCTTTAAGTTATTGTTTCGAGTTTTTTTTTATTAAACTGAATATTCCGAGTCGATTAATTCTAGGACGACCAACTGCTTTGCAGATAATCCGGAGTCACCGCATTTGAACCTTCCTGGCCACAAGAGGATTTTTGTTCCTCTTTGGATATGAACCTGAGACCTCCTGATACTTTTGATCTTTAAAGCCAAACTTAAATCAATGAGACATCACCCTTATGGTTTGTTTCGAGTTAATTTTTTCATCTAAGGCATTTAACGAATTGAACATTGTATATTTATTTCATAAAACGTTTGTTTCATATGTATTTCATAAACCTGTTTCTGTGTATTTTTTGTTTCAGAATCATATAAAAAATTCATATTATGAAAGAAATGTTTGTAAAACAAAGAGAGTATTCAACATGTTTTCAGATATGGAAACGGGACCATTCAAACAATACTTGTTATCCTATTTGCTGATATATACTTGTATATCTAACCAACCTACTTTCCCCAATTAGGCACCTAAAAACGTACGCTGATTTAGGTAAATTCATCAACATAGATCCGTTTACTTGCTCGATTTGTAATTTAGTTCTCAATTGATGATGATCAAAATCTAACGAAAATGATGTTATTGATGTGATTACGAGGAAATATAGCATATATCTGAAATCCACAAAACAAACATGAACAATAGACTGGAATTGAAATCGAATCGGAGGTTTTAAGATGAAAATGATACCAGGATCAGAAGAATGTTTGAAAATTGATTCAACCATGGCAGTAACTTCATCTTCTCTGATAGGTCTTAAAGCTTCAAGTCTCTTCAGTGAAAACAGCTCCAGATTACACACTTTCCTCACCTTCACATAGTGAGGTCCATAATCAGCCCAGATCAAGTCCTTACCACCTCTACTAAACGACATCGTCGCCCGATTTCTATGCCTGTCTGCCAACTGCTGATCATTCTCCTTCAACACCTCTTTGGCCAACTCCGAACTGTTGACGATCACATTCAGCTTCGAATCTAAGTAAACGGAGAAGATCGGGCCGTAAGTTCTCGCCCATTCCGCGTAACACCTGAATTTGACTGGTTTCACATCGTAGAGATTTCCAACGATGGGGAGTGGGCGTGGGCCTTGAGGGAGGTTGAAGCGGAGGCGTTGGAAGAGGGTTTGGAGAAGGTAATAGAGAGTGGGGATGAAGACGATAGCGGCGGCCAGAAGAAGCAGCACGGCCATGGTGGAGGTTTAATGGGATCCGGGTTGTGCGTGTATGTGAGAGAAGGGGTGTGTATTTGTAACGAAGGCTGGTTGACTGCTTGGTGGCGTTTTTAAGTCCACGTGAAAAGGATTGAATCGTCAAATTGCTATTTTGTAAAAGAGGTGGGTAGGTAGGAGTATTTGCCTTCTTTTGAATTCCTTTCCCGACCTACCACCTTTATTTTACACAAATATTTATTTCATAAAATTAATTTTTTTACTTTTTATTTATTTTAATAACCATTTTTTTAAAATTAATTTTATGGCCCTTATACGGTGCTAACTGGGTAACTCATGACCTTTTTTTTTTTTTTTTAAATAAGGCTAAAAATGTAATTTATTAAATTAGGGTGGTTAGTTTGGTAAGAAACCCATAAGTAATTTGTTTGTGGTAAAGAAAAAATTCGTGCTAAAAAATATTTAATTTAATAAAAATAATTACATATTACACCATTATAATTAGTTATTTAATTTACTTTATATTTCTAATTTTTTTATTTTTTATTTTACATATTTATTATATTAACATATATAATCGTATGTTAACTAAATACATGAAAAAATTATGTTTCGTTTTTTACAAATTATACTATTATAATCGTTTTGTCAATATGTTTAAAATGAGCCTAATATTAAATATTTTTTGATCCAATCTTATGTTTTTTAAATATTATAAAGGTTACTTATTATAGTTACAGATTATGTTTGTTAATATAATAAAGATGTGAAATAAAAAAATAATTTAAATAAATAACCATAAGGGTAGAATATGTAAGTTTTAAAAATAATTCATACATATTTATAATATTTAATAATTGAAAATGAATAGAATTATTAATTGTGTCATAAAGACTTTATTTTTATGTCCCAATCATCCTTATACAATGATTAAGGCTCTCGACTGGATAGCATGAACAATTTTTAATTTATTATGAACCCAGACGATGGATCAAATTCACAAATATTGAATATTATGTTCATTTTGAACGTATTGATGAGATTCATTTTTGTTTTAAAAAATTTCTTATAATTTAATCCATAATAGTTTTCGCATTGAATCTACAAATGCCTGTATTTTTTAGTTACATTCGGATCAGTAGAATTTTATGATATAGTTATACTACTCGTTCTGGTTCTTATATCGACATCCTCGCTTTTACTACTATTTCCACTTTCACBACAAATGGAACCAGAAACGTAATTGTTACTGTAATTGTCACTACCACTTACAATGTAACTATCAATACGGATTTGATACTGAAGATAACTGTCAAHGCAACTATTAATGTGATTATTCCAAATATATTGAGTATCATCCATGTCCTGATCATGTTGGAGATTCTTACTCTTAGATCCATTATTCAGATAATTAAAATCCTGATCAAAAGAACTTTCTAGTTCACTACAAAAAGTGAACTATTTAATAGTGTAATTTGTAAAAAAAAAAAACATATTTTTTAATATATTTTAGTTACACTTTACACCCTCCTAATTAGTTGTTTAATTTAATTTATGTTCTTTACTTTTTTATTTTTCATTTTACACCTTTATTATATTGACATACGTAATCATATTTAATTAAAATACATAAAAATACGTTTCTTTTTTATATTGCATCATTATAATCGTCGTCAATACGTTCAAAATGAGTCCAATATTGAATATTTTTAACTTTAATCTTATATTATTAAATTTACAAAACTTATGAATTATTTTAGTAATTACATTTTATATCCTATAATTACAGATTAAATAAATAATAATAAGGTTAGAAATTGTAAGTTTTAAAAATAATTCGTACGTATTTATGATATTTTATAATATAAGATTAAATCCAAAAACATTTAATATTGGGCGCATTTTAACCGTATTGACGATACGAGTATAACGGTGTAATTTGTAAAAAAAAACGTATTTTTTCATATATTTTAGTTAATATACAATTATGTATGTTAATAAATGTGTAAAATGGAAAATGTAAAAGTAAAGAATATAAAATAAATTAAATATCTAATTAAAAGGTGTAAAATGCAAATTTTTTAATCTATTAGAAACTTTAGGGAGAAAAAAGATTTTCTGTATAAAGTCCTGTAAAGTTTTTTTTTTTTGGTTGCTTAAAATTACCTTTTTAAATTATATTTCTTTTTTTATGTCTGAAAACAAACTTTACGCATAAACTACCTTTCTCCGTAAAGTTTTATCTTAGACTTTGGCTATCTAAAGAAAACGGTTCTTAAAAGTGGTTAAAAAGTGAAATTAATTTTGTGAAATGGTGTGATAACCGGGTTTATTTAGTAAAAGCTTGAGGTTTTTATTAAATTGTTTTAAAAAGTTTGGGTGGTTTTTGTTAAGTTGTAAAAATTGAGGGATGTGTTTTAGAAACTTGTCTTAAGATATCGTACTTTCCACCGCTCTTAATCATATATATATATATTAGGTGGAGGTTCAAACGAGAACCCATGTAATTTACGAGAACCCATGTGATTTACGAGAACGCGAGAACAACCCAATAA